TGACATTAAAAGAAACTTTTTAACAGCTACAAGAATACTGAAGGGAGAAGTGGGCAGTCAAGAGAAGAGGCCAGATCTAGTGACCAGAAACCATGAGAAAGACACGGGGGCAATGCTGGCTTAAAAAAAAAAAAAAGAAAATCATTTGACTTTAACCTTTCAAGGTATTTGAGGAAACAGCTGGTCTGATGCGACTGAAGATACTCTACGCATGCCCTAGCAGTAGAGAAGACATTTTAAGTCTATTATGCAAGGATTTAATTACAATAGTAAATACTTCTATGAAAAGAAGAGTTGAAGTTTATACACAGTTAAGAAAATAAATATATTAGGGCTCACACAGAAGGAAATACTGAACTACTTAAGAAATACTGGGTACTAGGAGCCAGAGTGTTCAGAGATTTTCACTGTTCACAGATCTAATGCTATAAAACGCATCAGCAAGTTAGTTTGCCACTCATGATCTTAACCTTTTATATTACCAAACCTACTCAACACTTTAACTCTGCAATGATAACACTGTAGTTACTACTCAGTGAGGTGAAATTAATGATATGGTCTCCATCAGGCATACCTGCATAGTGCTGGGTTGTAAATCAACATTATTTGAAGTGCAGTGCCAGTGTCAATATGAACTGTTCTTTTAATGGGGCTGTGTTGCAGGGCTGCTGCTTCCTCTAGGATTCCTGTCGTGTGCTGTAGATGAATGCTGAATTACAGAAAGGACTCATAAGAGGAAATAAGTATGAAGAGAGCCTCCTTACTGGAACAGATAGACAGAGGTAGAAAGGTTAATACAGAAATGCTAGGTCATAGGCACATAATCTATAAAAACACAAGACCAAAGTCATGTATCTCAATCTCTGGATCTTTAATTAAAGTTTTTCCCATATTGCTAATAAAAGGAATCTCAAGCAGTCTTTAATGAGGTGAGCGTGTGTGCACAAGGATGCAGGGCCTATCAAGCACTTCCTTCAACCCTCATCTACAGATTTCCGTCACACAGACGCGCAGGACACTTGCTGGCAAAGAGGATACAGAGCCCCTGTCCCGTTTAGGAAGGACAAAACACAGGTGACATGTTGGAACCATTGCTTTGTCAATGGTTTTCTCCCTTCTGTTCTTCCATTACAGTTCTGCAAATAGAATAATAAGCTGTTACTTTTCAGATACACTGTACTGAGCTCCAGTCTGTACCCTCCCCCCGAACCACACAAGGTGGGGGTTTACATAAAAGGAGTTTCTAACAGGCCACTGCAGTCTTCACAACCTTTTAATTCTCTGTTTTTAGCTGCACAGTGCACGCTGGAAAATCTCTTTATCAAACAGAATACATACACCAAACTGATTACAAAACAACACTATTTACAACAACTTCTTTGTTCTATAAAGAATCAAATTCACCCAAACTCAAGTCTTTACACAAGGGCTAGTCAAACGGAATAACATAAAATGGAGGGAAGTGTAGTGTACTGTAGATAAAAAGGAAGAGCAGAAATAATTCACCGTTATCTGATGAGTCTGAATGGTCCAACTACTCCAGAGATCAGTGTTGTAACACCCACCGGACAGTTTGTTCTGATGGGTTCTGGAGTTCTCTCAGGTTGTTCACCTCTATATCAGAATTTAATTCTCTTTAAAAATAGTCATTCTGTGAGTTAGCAGAAGACTTTTAAACAGGTAAACATGTAATAACGCTCAAGTCCCTCTTTTCTGTGTGCAGTACAGACCCTCACTGACTACAGTTTATTTTTATTTCCAATTCAAATTACAAGATCTAAAACGCCATCAGTTTATTACGATCTCTAACGAACGTAGGTTGTGGAGATTTCATACTCGGATACCAGTCTGGCCTACTCCAGTAGAAAGGAACCGAAAGGTTCGTAGCCAGAGGCAATACAGCTGCAGGTGTCCGTGTCTTTAACTGCAAATGGATCTTTCAAAGCTGCTGTTGTCTGTATTTCCGAGATTCTCCTCCCTGCCCCAAGCCAAACAGGAAGCACAAATAATTAGATCGCTGGTGATGTTACTGACATACCCTTTAATCATCGTCGTCATCATCCTCTGGGACAAAGATATCATGTTCTTCAAGTAGGGCTGCGAAGTTTTTACTGATCTGAGTCCCGACATAGAGGAAAGGGATCACAACGCTGAATACTCTGAGGAGGCCGAAGGGCGTCTGCAAGGAGTCGATGGGAAAAGATTGATCTTTACCAGCACGCTGCACTTTGGCTGAACCTACGCGCTCCCGGCTCCGCAGGCGCGCAGAGGACCTGGGGAGCAGCGGGAAGAACGGTTTGCCGCCCCTGGTGCCAGTCACCGCATCGCACTTCGTTATAAAAACTCCAGCACCGGCAGAGCAGGAACCCGTGGGGAGCTCGGGGCAGGGAACAGTGGTGGCTTAGGAAGGGAGAGCGGTTACCGGTGAGAAACGGCCGTGTGCGGGCGGCTGCTTATCCCCTCCTCATCGCGCAGGGA